AGTAGTGTTCCCAAGCCCAGTATGGATCTTGCGTTTCAATAGCGTTTGTTTTCAGGTTCGGCGGCGGCGGTGTTGATGTCTTTTCAAGATACATGAACGGGTCCAGAGTTGCGTTCTTCGTTTTGTCATCTCCTTCTGTTCTGCCTGATACGCCATCGTCGGACGTCTGAAGGTTCAGAGCCTTGACATTGTCAGATGAGTCGATACTTAGCGCCTTCGTGGCTCTGCAAGAGCTACAGCTTGGAGCCTTCAACCTAGCTGAGATCTTTGAGCTAGTAGACCTACTCCGACTGGTGGTACTCAGACTCAAGTAGCTACTGCTTAGTGAAGATCGTGAGCTGAAAGACTCGGCCTCAGATGATGAGCTTATGTATCTTCTCTCTCGTTTCATAAATTCCAGCCGTACTTCGTCTCTGATTTGTTGGCGTAATTGTTCCTTCTCTTCCTCTTCCTCTTGAATCCTCCGCCTCTCTTCTTGCTCATGTGCCAGCCTGGCTTCCAACTTTGCTTCGGCATCCATCCTGAGGCGATGTGCTTCCTGTTCCTTCAGCTGCTCCCACTCGGCTCGGGCACATAGTTCTGCCTCCAGTTTCGCTCGAGCGATTCTCTGGCACTCTTCGAGTTCTTCTCGTTCCTGTATTCGGCGCTGTTCTTCAGCTTGCCTTTCAGCTTCGATTGCTTCTCGGGCGGCTTTCTCTATTTGTGCTTTTGCTTCCTCGAGCTCTTTTCTGGCGGCCTCCTGAGCAAGTCGGATTTCTTCCATTCTCTGCTTCATGTGCCTTTCTGCTTCTTCTTGAACCCTTTTCTCGAACTCTTCCTGCCTCTGGCGCTCCTCCCTCGCTCTTTGGTCTTCTTTGACTTTCGCTAGTTCCCTTCTAAGACTTTCAATCTCTTCGCTTTCCCGACTCTTATCTGGCGACAGGCTTGGAGTGGCTTCAGGCGGTGGCGGGGGAGGAGGCCCTCTTGGCAAAGCCTGCGATGACATGTACGGTATATGTGCAGGTTCTACGAGCGGCGGCGGCATCCCACAAGTACGGCCAGGCATAGAGCTGTATGAATTCATGTTCATAAAGGGGCCTGGTGGATGGTAATCGGGAGGAACCATCCCAGGAACATTTTCGTGAAACTTTGGACGACGATATGCCCCTGTGATATAGTCATAACTCCCGTAAGTCGCGTCCTTCGGGCTTGAATGCATCTTCTCGTTTGGCTGAGATGACTCCTGGTTCCAAGTATGTTGACGTGATGGGCCTACTCCAGGTGAATCGTCCCTATTCCTGCCACTAGTTGGACGCCTGTGTTGCCGCCAAAATGACGAAGGCTCTTTGCCCTTGACGGACGGTCGGTGGTATGATGATGATCTTGGTGGGGCTCTTGAACCCGCTGCAGTATGCAAGGGCCGATATCTTGGTGCCGGATTTGTTGTGGATTGTGAGGATGAAGATCGGCGGCCCTGTCTACTTGGAGATCTCGAGACTGAACTCACGACTGAGTGTTGGGGTTTACCATCTGCATCAACTATATGAACACGGCGCGTGGGTCCAGGCATACTGGACCGCTCCGCAGAGGTTCCAGTGTTTTTGCCTGGTCGGAAAAGAACCAAGTCTGTACAGGAGCGTTCCGGCATGGGAATGTCACCGTCGCCAGGTCATCGTTGGAGGTCCAGATGCACGAGGTCGAGTTGTGAAGTCGCGTGGAGGATCCGCAGGCAAAAAGAGAAAATCCGATGCGGCTGTGAAGCACTCGCATAATTAGAAGAAAAGAAGAGGGGCCAGGGACATGGGAATCCAGGGCGGGTGCCCTCGCACCAACTTATCCAAACTAAGGCTGCCACGCTGCAACAGACCATTGAAACCAGCCACCGCCTTCGCCAACAAGATACCCCGCAGTCGTATGCAGTGTTCAAATGTTGTGAATGGTTGAGAATCAGAAGCGTCGGTACCATTGGCCAGCCTGGTTTTAGACAAAATCGTTTCTAGGCGAGTGAGCTGACATACCCTGGTCTTAGTGGCTTATCATGCATATGCGCTCCATTCTCCTGCGCCAATTTTGCGACCCTCTCCGCTGCGAACCAATTCGTTGCCTCACCATTTAATAGGTCACCGTATCCGAAGATGATTGCCTTGTGTTTCCACTTCCGACTGTCAGAACTGTGTTGTCAGCGACCACGTTGTCATGTCCACGATTGGAAACCACGGAACTGGGGCCCAGTCTCTCATTCTTGGCACACCTCCCAGATTATCAACGCGGCGGATGATCAGCTCGTCGATATTCGGAAAGTCTTCCATATTGCTGGTATGCCAGATTTCATCCTTCTTCGCAACTTCATCAAACCTGCAGGTAGCAAAAGTGACCATGGATTATTGCAAATCAAAATTCGGCCGTCGAAAAGTCAGACCTGCATGACAGGATACTAGGCGAAGAAGTGGAAGGTCTATTGGCATCTTATCGTTTGAGTCACGCCATGCATACCGCTCTTGGGTCTGCTGTTCAAATCGAATGTGAGTTGTAGGTCTTCTATCGCAATTGGAGGACAATTCAACTACGCCACCTGGTGGGTCTGTCAGTTGAGTGTACATTGAGACCCGTTATGAACTCGCTGGCACAGCTTTGGCCCCCGTTGAATGGTTCATTCAAGTCTCTAAGGAGACCAATGTGGAATGGCATCGACCTCTACTATCGCAGTGAAGGCCGGGAGCGCACATTGATTACTCGTTTCCCCGGGAAGACCTGGAACTGGGGACTGGTTCGTCTGACATGAGGACTTCCAGACAATGCAAGCATTAATCGTGAGTTTCTCTGGACAGATGGTAGCAATAACTTGCGAGTCAACATTCACCACGTCCCTTCGCCGAAGCCGGTTACTTGCTTAGGTGATCTAACTCGTACTGTACAAAGATGGTGCTGAGAGAGACTGTATTAGAGTGAGTCTGATTGGCATCTGAGCTTTCAAATTTCACTATGATGCCTTGAAGGTCGCTGATTGTGGAGGGACCCGAAAACACATTGGCTCCATCCGAAGAGAAATCAGTGGCTTCAATAGGTACATATATAAAATCACCACGATGAAAAGAGACAGCCGAGACTAGACGATTCGTACGCAAGAGTCTTCGAACACGGGGCAAGTGTACGAGATGTCGCTGATTGTGGGTGTGTGTAAGCTTATGCATGGGTGTCTGACAATTGAGTTGCCCAACCTCCACTTTGATCCCTCAACCAATTGAAGCCAACCAGGCAAATACCGCAGAAGCCCGCATGACACCATACCTTACGGCGGCTAGCCTCCACGTGTGAACGGATTCTCCAGTTGCGGGTGTGAAATTGAGCGCATTCAACGGGCATGCGGTTGAACACGTGCTCCGTAACTGCAGGTATGAACGACTCAAGCCCTCCAGTCTTGAAGAGACACGCATTACCTTTTATCGGGCCATCCGCAAGCACAGTTCAAATCGTTGATATGCGACAGAACTCGTGTACGTTTGGATCATGCTGTCAAATTTCGGGTCCAGTCATACCGCAAGATCCACTCACGATGTACTAACAGCCTTGAAAAGCGCAGAAGATGTGTGTACTCGAACCTGTACGGCATATCTTCAGCATTTCATTTGGCGACGGACCAAGACCCCGCATGTTATCGGTGAGCAGTAGGAAAGTGTAGGAGAGTTGGGCTGTTGGCCAAAGAGCTCCTTGAAGCCGTCGTCCAACCGACTCAGTCACCACCTCAGTCTTTATCGAAGGACGGGCAGTAGAATTGGAGGGCTTTTCGAAGAAGATGTTCAAGATACCGCCATTTATGGATGACAAGCCAACTCATTCATTTCGCAACTACCACCTCGGACTCCAGAGCGTCAACCTCGGAAGTGGGGGTCACAAATGGGACTCCGGGACACAATTCAACGGGAGTTTTGTGGCGCCTTCTCATTCTCCCAAGTCCTAGTCATTGTATCGAATTGTGTTCAATTCAGCAAGGCCGAATGGCAAAGCGTTTCAAAACTCCAAATATCATCACATTCATATTCGTGTTCGTAATCCCGTCCCAACTCCTCTGGAGTCATCACCTTCCCAGAAACCTTTCATGAATCCCCAAGTTGCCCGTTATCCTGCCTGCTTTGTTCTGTCGGGGATGGCAGTCCCAGTGTATGCTCTGAGGTTTCTCTAGTACCGCTGCTGTCCGACCAGTGCCAGCTCGCCTCAGGGGGAGATGAATGCCTGAACGTCGTTGAACCAAAACCAGACTCTAGGTCAAAGTCTGCAGACAACGGTGACAAATTGTTGTTATCGATATCCGGTAAAAGGGGTACTTCCCCACTTGTCAACCTCCTGAAGCCCGATAAAGAGTGCGGTCGTAGCATGCACTCATCTCGTGGCATCATCCGTCCTTGTTTCGTCCATGTCCTGTCCTCGTATGACAGTTCAATCTCCATCGTCTTCATGATACCTGAAGATGGAGGTTCGGGAAGAACCCCAACACTCGCAGTAGCTGACTTTCCTGCTGTGGCGGTGCAGGACTCTGACCCAGAAGAAGAGGAAGACGACGATCCTGACCCTGACCGTAGTGGAAAAGTCCAGGACGCCCTATTTCTGTTCGGTGTTGGCCGACAGGATCGTGACTCTGGGCCTGAGATTCGTGATTCGTAGGTGAAGTCGTCAAAACGCAACCTCGGCATCTCCATCGACTGCGACGGCTCGCTCCGTGAGAGAGAGCCTCTGAAAAAGTTCTTAGACATCGTGTCGGTCGTCTCGCTCGTTACGCCCGTTAACTCGATGGTAGGCAACGATCTAGTCCTCCAAGGCCCCCTACTCTGCTCCTCCCGCTGCCTCCTTCCACACAATTGCCGGACGAGAGGCGTGAGACTCGGTGCACAAGCAGCGGTGATACCAATCCCAGGTTCGACAGTGCTCCAAATGGCGAAGTTGGCGGTCTCTCCTGTACGATGAAAGAGTAAGCACGCGTTTTAAATGCCATTCATGGGCTTCGTGCCCCTCCAAGCTGGTAAAGTTTAGGTGTGCATGGGCAGATCGATTGACGTACGAAGAAAGTTTCCCTCGCTCAACACAGACGGTACTGTCACCGCTCGAATAATAGTGGCGATACTCGCGCTGCAAAAAGTCAATCCATGTTAGCATCTCCATCACCAATCATAGTTATGCCACCGGAGCGGAAGGTTGGGTGTTGCGCATGCCACCAAACCATCGAGATGGGAAACGTACATTGAAGCAAACCCTAGCAAGAGCACAACAAGAATTTTGGTCTTTTTGCGCAGGTCCAACGACCAGACAATAAACAAAGGCAATATCCCAAATGCCCAGTCTGCAATGCAGTTCAGTGTGGCGGCTGTGAATGTGGTGCCGAGAACGACGGTTTTCGAGAAGCAATGGCCTGGGGTACGAGGACCCTCGTCCCAAAATACGTGTACTGGTCGGCACTGGAAGGCGACGAGGAACAGGTACAGAAACCCAAACACCAGCGTCGACAACAGCAGTGCTCGCAGAATCCAGACGTGTGTCGGGACGATCGCGATGCGCAGAAGTAGGATGCCGACGCAGACTTTCAGGAGGATTGTCGTGAGGAGATACAGGAGTTCGCCAGCAAAGAAGTACTGCACGTTGGAAGTCAACACAACAGTCCGGTGATTTCGTTTTGTCGTCGTCGATTCTGTCGCAGAGGTGGACCCCAAGTCTGCAACGTACCTGGAGAGCTTTCCGTCGATCTTCTGGCGTTATCTGTGTCGCATCGCGGCCCGTACCATGCACTACTCCCAGGATTTCTGTGACCAAAAACACGGTAAAAACAGCTTGGAGCAGGCAAAGAAGCTTGTCGTCGGAGGTCACGGTTCGCGTGATGAAAACTTTCGAGTACAACCGCAGAGCGACGGCGATGGGCGTGAGGCAGAGAAAGAGAATGGCAACCGCAAGAACGCGGCGAGGTCGGTTCGGATCGATGTCGACGTCGGCATCCACCATGCTCCGATGGGGATTGAAGTCCGTTTACGAGGTCCACCACTCTCTACTCGGGCGACATGGCGGCGGGCAGCAGAAACAGGATCAAGGTAGGTTGCGAGAAAACAGAGAAGATCGTGGGCAGAATCCTTCGTCTTCTATTGCTGGAACAGGATCCCTAGCGGCGTTGGGCCTGGCCCCTTTACGGCGGTCGACGGCAAGGGGGCACGGATGCGTAGGGGGGGCGGCTAGGATCTACGTCCACGCGGCGTCCGGCGGAACTTTAAAGAGGGCGGGAAAAGAAAGTATTTGCGTCGGCACTTGAGCACAGGAACTCAAGATCAGCAGTCTTGAGTCACGGGCGGAGGTTAAACGACGGTATGAATAGAGTCTTCCCGGCTGAAGTATGGCAGATGCAGTAGGTTGACGGCACGACGGGAAGGATGACCCATGAGACAGACTCGCGAGAAGCTTGAAGAAAGCTTGAGGAAAGCTTGACACTCGGGGAGAGGGGCGGCACCAGCTCACATGTCTACTGGGCATGTTCACCTTCTAGAAATGCGATCTTCAACCAAATTGGTGCAAGCTACCCGCAGACGCCGTCCACAGCTGTGGCTTAAGGTTGGACCAATCGGGGCCCTGAGTCAGTGGGTTTTGGCTGATGTCTTGGACAGTTTAGCTCTTTTATGCAAACGGCATACCTACCTAGGATCGAGCTGCCGTTTGTACGATGCACCGATCATGGGGAAATTCATCTGGAGAATGCGGCCGTTCAAGCTCTGAAAGAAAGACAGAAGAGCAAAAGGCAAAGGAAACATGATGCGTTGAGGTGTCAAGATTGACGGAGATCTGAGACATTGAGTTACTAGTCTCGTGCGCGTGTGGCTGAATATATGGGCAGATAGATTAGATGATATGATGAGTGAACGACGGAAAAGGCAATAGACACGAAAATATGCCACTGGCGTCAGACGGTCTGGACTTTCTCTCCGCCCGCCCCGGAATTCTTCTCGTCAATGTCCACAGCTCCAGACATCGTGGAGATGGCGTCGAGCTCAGCCACCCCGCGTAGGACGGGCGCATCCCCAAATGTGCCAAAATAATCAAGGTCATCCACCGCTTGCTTTTCCGGCATGGGCCACAAATAGTCCAGGAGGAGGTATATCTGACCTGACGCAAGACAGCCCACGAACCACGACAATTGATAAAGCCTCGTCCAGCCCGCCCAAACCTCGCTTGGAGCAACAGCTCGCTGCGCCAGACCTGGGATGAACAGCCACGCGCCCAGGCACCAGGCGATGGCTGCACGCCAGTTCCATCCCTTGGTGTACCAGTAGATGCTGTTGGACGAATTCCCGTAGAGGTCCGTCAACTTGATTGTCCGCTTGCGGAGGAGGAAGTAATCAGCAAACATGATCCCCATGAGCGGGCCGAGGAAAACGTTGAAGCTGCCCACGACAGTCAAGAAGTTGCTAGCGCTGTTGAGGAGCGCCCAGGGCTGCATAATGAATACGAAGACAATAGTGAAATAGCCCCCGCGGCGGACCGTAAACCAACGCGGTAGCAGGGCGGCTAGGTCGATTCCGGCGACCACGCAATTGGATGCGACTACCATGCCGAACTGCGAGAACATGAAGGCGATGCTCGCAAACGCGATCCCCGCTCGGGCACCAGAGTTATCTTCGTTCTTGCGCACGGCTTCCAGGAAAGCGTAGGGCTGCCACAGGAGCTTGCCCTCATCGGGGTACAGCGTCGCCGCGCATGAAGTGCAGATGATCCCGACGCAGGCTACGATGATGGTCCCCAAAGGTACCATGATTAGCTGCGCTAAGACTTGATCTCCCGGCTTTCGTGCGTATCGCGTGTAGTCCGACTGAGACCACATGTGTGTGGCGATGCCCCCAATATTTGCCGTAACAGCCGCAACGAAGGCCCAACCGAGATCGCCTCCCGTAGCTGGCTTGACACCCGAGACCTTACTCACATCTGCGACAAGGGCACCTCCTCCCTCAGCTCGCACGGTGGACCAGATGAGAAGTGCAAACACGGTTGTAGCAACAGTTGTGGAGGCGATCAGAAACGGTTTCCGGTAGTTCTCCGGACTGAACCAAATCATTGGGAGGCACAGCAGCAAATAGAGTACGAAGGATACGAGGTCGTACGTCTTCATCGTACCATCAGCGAGATCTGTATCCAGATTGAGGAAGGACGGCCAGATGCAAGTCAAAAGAACCTTTAGGCATTGGCTTCCGTACCACGTGTTGGTGGCTGTCCAGACAAAGGATAAGAAAACGCGGATGGCCTTCGTTGTTATTAGCCAGCATGTCAGAGGAATTAGTTTGAGCCTCCGAATGGCGACATACCATTGGGAAGAGGTAGCCCCAGATGCCCCAGTTCTGCTTCATCCATAGGGGAAAGCCAATGTGCCACTTTGCGCCAGGGTGGCCGCCAGCTATGCAGACAAAGCCAACAAAGGTATGGGCGACGATAATGGCAATCATAGATTGCTATGCTCATTGATTAGTTAATTAATTGCCTCTGTGAGGCGGCAGCCACAGAGAAAGACGACGCTTACCCAGACATTCAATCCCAGAGAGATGAGGGAAGATTCTGTAGTCCAGCCTCCAACGTTGAAAGAGCCTGTTACCATCCAGAGGCCAACGAACTCCCATGGGCCATATGTGCGGCGAGAAGGGGGCAACGGCCGCGTGTCTTTGTTGACGTAGATGTCCACATCTGTATCCGTATCTCGATTTACCTCGATGCGTCTGATGAGGCGGCGACTCAAAGGGGTTGATGTCGCCATCATTCAACACTAATCGTTGCTGTCGGCTTGACCCAAAGCGAGAGAGCCGGCTATGAAGTTTTCAACTCTATGAAGCCAGCATGAGAGTGTATTCTTTTCGGGAGGTTTCATTTTATAGATAGCTGTTGATCTTTTCGCAAGACAATCTTTCGTCGAGAATGATAAGAAGTACATTTTCGTTTCTATTTTGCCCGCCTCGGGCATTTGCCGGGTGTAAGCATGCTTTGTAGTCATGATAAGGATCGGTCTCTCGATACCGAGAGCTGCGAAGATAGCGGAGAAGCCCCTCTTCGTGACCCCCAGCAGATCATACCCTTCCATGATGATTGTGGACCCATGCAGATGTTCATGACCAATGGGAGAGCTTACATCTCCAAGGACTGCAGTTAACCAGTTCATCAGTTTAGCAGTCGTATGCTCCGCGATAAGCTTGCATGTCCGTGGTAGCCCCGCAGTTCGAGCTGATGTCGAAGAGTTGATCAGTTCTTCCGAAATAACAGTACGAGCTCCTATCAAACCATCGTATCATCTACAGAAATTCGTGACATCTTCACATATAAGTTGTAGGTACTAGCGGGAGGTTTTCATCAAGACCCATCAGGTCCCTTACCAAAAGCGCCGTCGTAAATCTCATTCTCAGTCGCGCAACATCTTGACTACAGAATCATCAACATTGGTCTCGACATGTCTCAAACAGAAACGATTTCTCAGTCCGGGATCGGGAAGAGGACCGTCACTCTACATAACGGGACAGTGTTCAGCTTCAACTCGAACGTCTCCACCAACCTTGAGAAGATCCCCGTCATTGACGCTGCGGGCATCTGGAGTGACGACATCACGGAACGAGAAGCCGTTGCCCAGGAGATTAGAGAAGCTTCGAGAGACATTGGGTTCTTTTACTTGATCAACCATGTGAGTATTACTAGACCATGTATGAAGGGAGAGGAGGTCTTAATCAATTCGATGCCCCAGGGAATCGATCAAAGATTCGCGGATGAGACCATGAAGCAAGCGAAGCGTTTCTTCGCCTTACCTGAAAAGAAGAAGATGGAGGTCTTCACCGGCCTCGTACCGAACGAATACGTCGGTTTTCATCCGATGGAGTGCTACAACCGCAATGGGTGGAAGCACCAAGGTAGGCCTCTATCACCCAGAACACGTCCCAGTTTCATGTTGCTAAAAGTCGTGAAAGATCTAAGCGAAGCCTTCAACTGGGCCTACGATGCCCGAGAAGACCCAGAGGCAATTGATAAGACCGAAGAATCAGTCAGCATTTGGCCATCCGACGTGCCCGGATTCCGCGAAAATCTCTATGCCTATCATACCGAGCTGCTTCATCTGTCTCGTCGCCTGACTCGCATCTTTGCGCTCGCTCTGAACTTGCCTGAAGATTACTTTGACGAGTATATCAAGCGGCCAGAGGCAGGCATGCGCATCTTGCACTACCCCGAGCAGAAGCACTCAGTGGACGATCAAAACGGCATCGGCGCACACACTGATGTGGAGTGCTTCACCATCGTCACCCAAGATACCTCAGGGGGGTTGGAGGTGCTTAGCAAAACTGGTAATTGGGTGAAGGCAGAGCCCATCCCTGGCTCGTTTGTCGTTAACATTGCCGACTGCTTCATGAGGCAGACGAACGACTTCTTCGTGTCGACAATTCATCGAGTCATCAACAAAAGCGGTAGAGAGAGATACTCGGCCCCGTTCTTCTTCGGCTTCGACAGGCAGAAGGTGCTTGAGCCTGTGCCGACTTGTATCAGCGATGAGAATCCGATGAAGTATCCAATCATGACTGGCGGGGAGTATTACGCCTTCCGAACGAACAAGCAGAAGTCGACAAACACTAGGAATTCTAAGGCAGATCAGAAGCAATGAAATGATGGCCTCGTTGTATGTTCTTGAGTCGAATTGCAGAATAATTTGGCCTTCGCATAAGCATTTTTAAATTCAGCTCAATCGCAATTCTCATTCATGTCCCGGTATATCATAAGGCCAAGTAAAGCTGTTCAAAAGGGCTGTGGAGAAAATGTCACCGTCCTGTCCTTCATTCCACATAGTCTCCGAAAACGGAGGCCATGCAAGTTGCGGTCCAGTTTCGTTCGTGATTTCCTGACTTGACGCAGATGCCCGCCGATCTACGTCCGTAAGTCGAGATATTAGACGTTGTTTTGCGGTCACAGCAACGTTGCTGTAGTCCTCCAAGTGCCCCAAGAAG